TCTATCTCATTCTCTCTCTCAAATAAATAAATAAAAAATCTTTAAAAAAAAAAATACTTGGAATTACCTCACAGAAAATAGATATGGATATCTTGAGAATGAAAAGAAACCAAATTGTGGTCTGTTTGAATCTACACATGCAAAAAAGGAGATCTTCTTTATCCTTTGGATGTAGAATGCTTAGTTAGGAATTTGTTGCTTTGGGGAGGGCAGTGAAATAACCTAGTGAGGAGTAACCTTGGCCTCAGACCTGGGTTCTGGCTCTGTGTACCTACCACAACCACCTTCTCCAAACTCCAACTGCCGCATCTTTAAAATACAGATATTAATTTAATTAATAGAATTAAATGGGACAATGCATGTAAAACACTTGGCTGAGTGTCTGGCATATAGTATGTATTCAGTAAATATTATTACATCTGTGCCAGATTATTTGGCATTCTCCAATGCACCCTTCTTCCTCACGGGTTGGAGTCCCATTCCTTTCAGTAGGATTTGTGCCTCACCCCTTCTCATGTTTCTACCTGTGATGAACCTGAAGTCAAGTTTTACATCACCTAGAAGTGCTTTCCCTTTCCCTGAAACACTGATTATTTATACTCTCCACCTCTCACTTAACATAGATTGCCTTGGATTTACACTACCCCTGTATTTGGTGTGTCTCCCCTTAGCTTGTAATTTTCCTTGTGGGCAGAGAACAGGTCTCACACATCTTTATTTTCCTCCCAGAGGCTTGCATGGTGCCTTAGTCCACAGAAGTTAGATGCCCCATAAATATTGATTATTCACTCCTGCAGAAAGGCAAGTGGGCAGTGAATAAATACTGCTTGAAAGAAGGCCTGGATTAATTAATGAAACACATGCTTTTGGCACAGTGGTCAGGCTCAACCAAAGTAGATTTTTTTTTTTTTTTAAAAGATTTTATTTATTTATTTGACAGAAAGAGAGAGCGCACAAGTAGGCAGAGAGGCAGGGAGAGGGAGAAGCAGGCTCTCCGCTGAGCAGGGAGCCCGACGCGGGGCTCGATCCCAGGACCCTGGGATCATGACCTGAGCCGAAGGCAGCCGCTTAACCAACTGAGCCACCCAGGTGCCCCTCAACCAAAGTAGATTTGACATTAAGGTTGGTTTGTCCCACGGGCCCTTCACTGTCCTTGAAATACAATTTACCCAACTCCCTGCATTGTGAATTGACATGGCATATGCTTGATAGAGATGCATTGGGACATCAACATTGTTTGAGTGGCTTTTTTCCTGCCTGTCAAATGCATGTGGAAGGAAAAGGACAGTTGCAGTCTCCCGGAAAGAAAAAGAAGAAACAAAGAATACATGTCATAATGGATGCCCGTATGACCTTGAGTCAGGCTTCACAATGAAAGAAAACGTGACAACTTAATTACTGATCAATTCTGTCATGGGGAGGGAAGTCCAGGCACTTTCTCTGGCAATGAGAGTTGTGATGTCTAAAAATTGTCTCTTCGGTAGCAAAATCAAGTCTTTTTCTTTGTAATGGTTATTACAAGCCTTTAAAACCCTCCTGGAAGTGTTTTTGGGTGACAGAGTTTGCAGATTTCTAGCAAGTTAAGTTTTTGCTCTGATTTTGATTGGGGGAAGTTAACAGGTCACAAGTAGTGAGGCTGAATCTGATACTGTGCTCACCTATCACTATGGGTTCACTCTCTAATGTCCTGAGGAACAGCTAACCCCTTCACTTTTTAACCCCTAAGTTTTGCTATCTGAGAGGATGTATGATATGGTGAAAAGTACTTGGGCCTTGGAGTTCACCAGACCTAATTTAGAACCCTGTCATCTCTACTTACTAGCTAGATGTCAGTGAGTTTGAGCTTCTCCTTCCTTGTCTAGAAGTGGAGGAGAACTAAAGGAGTGTCAAAGGGGTATTTTAGGGAGGAAAGTAGTTATTCTGGGAGGAATGTCTGAGATTCAGAAAGTTGGGAAAATAAATGTTAAAAACGTGGTTTAAAAAGGATGCCCTGGTAAACCTATTCAAGGATGTTTCTTGCAGCATTGTGATTCAAAACCTGCAGGTCACCTCAGTGCCCATCTGTAGCGTAACGGACAGATGGTGGAATATTCATGCTACAGAATATTATACAGCATTGATGAGTGAACTATAGCTGCAGGCATTATCAGGGATGAATAGAAAAAAAACACCATAGAGAATATGTAAAATAGGATTTCTTTCATGGGAAGTTCAAAACAGGTAAAAACTGAATGATCTCTTTAGAAATAAGTACCTATATCTGGCAAAACTATGAAAACATGCAAGGGAGTGATTAACACAAAATTCAGGATAGTTATTTTTGATGGCTGTGGGGGGGAATCTTTGAGGAAGTATCATTAAGGAGTACTGATAATATTCTGGTCGTATTAGTTTTATATATTCACATAGATTCATTTTACACATTTTCTATGAATCATAGATTTTGTGGTAAGGCAATTATAGAAAGACTGGTTATGTCAGAAAGTGGTGGGAAGGGGATTCAGGGTCAGCATGGATCAAAGCCTTCAGGATGGAACCTGCTTTGAGCATTAAGGAAAAACATCTCAAGCACTCGACAGTCCAGAGTTTCCCATTCCTCCTCTCCCATTCCCTTCTAGCCCACCCTTGCACATTGCCAAGTTATGTGTTCATGCATGGTGCTGATAGACTGAAGATAATTCATGCTTTATGATTTGCAAGGCTTTTTTCTTATGTGAAATTTTATTCACTTCTTCTAGGTCATAACTTCTGTGCAGAAGGCCCTAAATGTGGTGAAAACTCAGAGTGTAAAAATTGGAATACAAAAGCTACCTGTGAGTGCAAGAATGGTTACATTTCTGTCCAGGGAGATTCTGCTTACTGTGAAGGTAAGTAAGCTATTTAATACAGTCATTTGTGAGAAGTGTATTCCTGGTAGACATGGTTGAAGGTTGAAAGCCATCACTTGGCTCTGGTCTCCTGGGAGCCTACAAGAAATTACATCAACTGTCTAGGGTGCGCTGTTCTCCTTGTGTCTCCAGGCTTCTCAGTAGCATGTGAAAGCAAGACCTTTGGAGGTTGTTCTGAAACACAGCAAAGCCACAAAAACAGTAGGGCTTTATCAGATCCCAAGTTCTGCTTTCACTGTAGTTAAGGATCCCTAGCAAAACCATAAAGACCTGATTTTCTGTTGTCTTCAGTAGATTATTCTTTCCTAATTTCAGCTAAATGTTACATGGTGGATCCTCTTTTTGAACGATGCTTCAATCCTAGCTTATATCTAACTGCCTTTTTCTTCACCTGCCAAGGTCAGAATTTTTTTTTTTTTTTCAATTGGCTTTCTTAATGACTGATTCATGAGTTGCTAGTTCACAAACTACTAAAATTCACAGTGACCGATGGACTCATAACTTTGGCACTTGGATGGGTGCCATTACAGGGGTTAGTGGGTTCAAGCATCAGTGATCCCATTTCCACTCTAGAGAGCAGAACAGCTCCTGTGTCTTACATGAATGCCTCTTTCTGAGCTCAGTGCTCCTCCTGGCTGGTGGTGAGCCTTACACATGCCTGCTCCTGTGTAGTGTCCTAGTATCTGAGCCCATCCATTGTCAGGTGCTCACTGGAGCTCTCCTCAGTTTAGAGAAGTTCTAATAGGCAAAGTGATGGGGAAGCTATTTCTGTGTACTGGTTGGACCCAGTCATTCCTATCATCTTCACAAACAATGTATTGATCCTTGATGCTCTCTTACTCCGACAAGTAGATGTCTGGAATGGGATGAACGCTGTAAAACCTTGATCACACTCTTCCAATTGGTTTGGTTCTCCAGCGGCTCAGGTATTCTCAAGGTAAAGACAATTCATGATGATAATGGTAAATTTTTTTCCGTTCTGTTTTGTATCATTGATCCTTGCCTATTTTTTTTTTTTTTTTTTTTTTTTTTAGCTTTGACTAAAGACCTCTTGAGTTGTTAAGAAAATGTGTCTAATCATCACTGGTGCTCCGTACTTGGGTGGCCTGGGGTTTTGATTTCTCCTAAAAAGACTTTCTTCACTACTTCTTTGTTTCTCATTAACAATACAGTATAACTAGTAGGTCTTTTCTCTTTCTCCTTTACATCTCCCCCCCCCCCCTTTGCTTACTTTTGTAGATTTGAACTTGATTAAAGAAACACGCCAGTTGGGAGGATGAAGTTGCCTTTTTGCTTATGAACCATTTTTCATCTATCCTTCAATATTCTGTTACTCATTTGTCAATTTTGAGGAAGAACACTATTTAAGATTTATTTATCTTAGTGTGTGTGTGTGAACAGGGGGAGGGGCGGAGGGAGAGAGAATCTCAAGCAGACTCCCCCCTGAGCACAGAGCCCAATGAGGGGTATGATCCCACAACCCTGAGATTATGACCTGAGCTGAAATCAGGTCATATGCGGGGTGTCAGATGCGGGGTGCCTGGGTGGCTCAGTCATTAAGCATCTGCCTTTGGCTCAGGTCATGATCCCAGGCTCCTGGGATCGAGCCCCGCATCAGGCTCCCTGCTCAGCGGGAAGCCTGCTTCTCCATCTCCCACTCCCCCTGCTTGTGTCCCTCTCTTGCTGCGTCTTTCTCTGTCAAATAAATAAATAAAATCTTAAAAAAAAAAGAGATGCTTAACTGACAGAGCCACCCCGGTGCCCCAGAATGCTATTAATTTCAGTACCTCACATTAACATCTGTTTTTTATATCTTAGGCTGTTTCTTATTTTTTTGTTAGAAAATATAATTTCAAAACTTTAAAGTATGAACATTCTCCTCTTCATTTACCATGGAAAGATCCTGCAAGCCAGGTAATGGTCTAAAATATTTACTCACTATTCCTTCTGGGGATAGATTACGAACAATTAAAAAATGAGAGAAGGAACCTCAAAACAATTTCATTCCTGGCTCACCTCCTGGCAGAACAAGTACACCCCCCATTCTTGACTCCCTTTAGCTGTTGAGACCTAGCCGAATCTGGGAGAAAATTGCTGGTGTGCAAGGTGTTTGGGACTCTGTTTCATTCCTCATCAATGCCATTTTTTTTTGTTGTTGTTGTTTAAACAGAATCAACTCCATGAGAAGCCATTTGTGATAGTTAAGTCTTCCCTTTGTGTGTGAGGCCTTACTGATAATGTTGAGTGATTTTAGGTCCAAATCACTGTTTTCTGGGACATACTTCTTTTTAGCCTAGTGTATGTCCCTGGTCTTGGGCCAGTGTGCATTGTGATGCCATCTTGGGTAATGGTGATGTGCTCAAGCTTCAGTCGTTTCTCTCTTATTGTGAGACTTTCTGTAAGTTCCAGCAGGCTTGTGCATGGAGAGGAGGAGAGCAGCAGGAAGAAATGAACAAATGTTAGAGCCCATGTGTGGTATAAGAATAGAACTCAGGAGTAAAGCAGGGGTTAAGTATTGGCCATCTAGTGGGAGTCACAGTGAGTGAATATCCTCTTTTAGAGAAAAATGCCCGTCTCTCCTCTTATTCTGTCATCTTTAGCACATTGGACTTGGGGCTTATTTTCCTATGGTGGCTGATGACTGCCATAGCCCTAGGCATGGTGTCCTAACACCAGTGTCACAAGCGAGCAAGGAAGGAAGGGGAATGGGTTGAAGACCTTCTCTGTGTGAAGTTGTTTGTGTGTTTAAAGGCAGCTCTTCCTGGAAGGTTCTCTGTAACCTCCTGCCCCTGTCCCCATGCAGTAGGTGTCTGCGCTCATAGTTTACAGCCCCGGGTGACATCCTCTTCACCTGTAGACCAATTTTTTGGGAAAGGGGAATGAGATGACTGTAACTGGTTTGGGTTGTGTTCAATCCTTGGAGCTGGAGTAGGGGTTTGCCTTCCCTGAGACCAAGTGATCTTTGTCCTTTACCTGTACTACTCAGGATTGTGGCAGTGGGAAGGGGGAGTGGTTTTAGGTGGGCAAAAAGCTATGTTTACCCCATTCTTTGATGGTTAAATGCAGTTTATGGTCATTGCCCCAGCTCTGATGTCAGAATTATGCTCTGGGATGGTCTGATAGACAAGATTAGAGATCACCAAGTGCCCACCTGGGTAGCAGGGACTCTCAGGCTGAGTACATTGTCTTACCATAGTGTAGAGAGAAGTAGATACTTATGAACTGCTTCAGGCAAGTTATTTTTTACTCTGAGTATAAATGGAGTGAAAATGACCTATATTGTACAAACCACAACGAATGAGACTGCCTTGCAAATTAAAACAAAATATTACACACATTGTCCAGGCTATCTTGAAAAGCCTATTCAGGCTCTCAGTGGAAAAAGAAGCACAAAAGGCTTTCAATTTTCTTAACTTCCTAGGTTAGCAGCAGAGATATGGTGCATTAAAGACTCCTGCTCTGCAGAGATTGCCAGAGAAACCATCATAGAGAAGATATCGGAACTCTTAGTCAATCATTGGAAGATAATAAGACCTTTTGTCAGCTATGATATAATTCACAGGACATCGTTTCATTTTGCTTCGTCCAACTCAGCACCAACATTCCCCATTTTGAAAGGAGTTTTAGTTGGATTTTGGTGTTTTATGAATCTGGTCTGCTGAGGCTTTTTATCTCTGCAATGGCATTTTCAATGCGTTGGTCTTAAATAGTTTCCGATACGTTGGCTGAAATTAGGAGGCAGTGTCTGAGGAAAGTATAGCAATTGGGGGTCTACTCATGATCTTCTTGAATTTAGAGTCTGCATAAATAGTCTCATAAATTCTTTCTTGCTGTAGTTAAAAGTTATTTAGAAGAAGAACAGTATGGTGTCGTAGACATCATGCAATCTGCCAAGCATGGGAAGTACTACAGTTAGCATTAAGTGATAATAATTTTTACTTACAGACTGTTCTGGATTTTTTAAACTCTTCTTCTGTATATTGTACTCTTGGAGACTTAGAGTAAATCTGTGAGGGAAGTGGCAGCATTGGCCACATCAACTTCATTTTACAAGTGCCAGACACTAATACTCAGAGAAATGAAGTCAAGATAATACTCAACTCCTTTCTACTCCCTACCCTCTCCATCCCCCGTCCTGTTCCAGTGTTGTATTTTTGTTCAAAATATTTGCTGCCTCCTTGATCCAATGAAATGTGGGTGGACTTTACCTGTATTTCAGGGTAGAAGCTCTTAAGTCCTGTTCTAGGGGTCCACCTCATTCTCTTTTCTCTGCAACACAAAATTGGCAATATTCCAGAGCAGGGCTTCTCCTTTAGCTGGGGTTCCAGAATGAAGATGGCGTGCAGCAGTGGGACAACTGACAGGTGATGGATGTGTGGCATGCATGAGAAGTAATTGTCTAAATCACGGAAATGCTGGAGGGTGCAATTATCTGAGGGTGCGATTACCTTTGTGTAACTTAGCCAAAGCCTACCATATCCCTTCCTGAATCAGTTGATACAAATTTTGTGGATTCGGAAGGATACCTCTAGCTCATTGTTCCTGACTGAAAGCATTTTTTTTTTTTAATAGACCAAGCATTGAAGATTATTAGAAAAAGTGCCATTTGAGTGGATCATTAATAGTCTGCTCTGGCCCTGCTGCCATGCGATAGACTTTTTGCAGACCACAAGTTGTAAATTGATACTTTGTTATGGCCAATTCCAACATGGGAAATTGGATTTCCCAATTATGATAATGAAACAAAGCATGTCAAAGACTTAGCAAATTGTCTGGTATTTGCTAACATTTAATGGATCACAGTAGTTACCATTATTTGTCATCATTAACTTCTATCATTAACCCTTATGATGATCTTTCTTGGAAGTTGAAGAATGTGTACTCCCGAGACCAGTATGTCGCAAAAGTGGGCTTCCATCATGAAATCTTTTGGGGAGAGTCCTTAGGTGGGAGGATCAGGTTTTATCAGTTCTGCCAAG